TAAACCAGGGATCATTCATAGAATATGTATGTGACATTTTATTAGACATAAGGTAATGGCAAAATAGACATGCCTCTAATGCAAACCCAGCTACCTTCAAGTTATCACAGTTGAGATAAGCTGTATTTCTAAAACACTTTTTAACACTACTCACTTTTTCAGATTTAAAAAAAAAATAGTAAGAATCAACTTGCACACCTTTCCTTACCCCCAAAATTCAATCCATGGGTCCAGTCCCATAAAATGTAAGCCGTGTATACAATTCCAAAGGTTTAAAAGTCCACCATCTTCTATTGCTCCTGTCATTTTCCCTATTACACCAAGACAATTTATAAAAGGAAAATAATGGTTGCTGTCACCGAGCCACTGTCCAGTCCCTTAGAACCTGGCCCGATACCAGCTTCTGTCCCAGACTTCGCTACTTGTTCATGAAGTAACCACACTTCATGAGCAACCAAGTCGAATTTCAGTCTATTTTTAAAGACCTTACAATAAAGGCTAATCTCAGATACACATTTTCTGTTTTTCCACAGAGTTGTTCTCCATGAGGCACAGGTCCGCCACGTAATGTTGAAACAGGTACATGTTTCCATAAGGAGAAGTATGTTTTCCTGAAGTCATTAAGTAATTAAACCACAATATGAAGTCATACTTTCTGGTATAAAAGTGTTAACATTCTTGTAAAAGCCACAGATAAGTTACCAGTCATATTAACCAGAAACCTCAAGAATGAAAGATGCCTCTGGAAAATGTTCCAATCCTCCTGTGGCAGGTATTAAACAAAAAGCACCATCTGCTGTGTGTTCAGGAGAATTTCCTGCTACACATACTGAACTATGTCCCTGACCAAAGTGGTGTGAAATACGGCTGCAGACAAACAGGTTATGATCACAAATTAAAGGATATTTTGAATAACAGTATGAGAGAGAGAATACACCCTGCTTTTTTTCTTCAGCATTTGGGATGTTACATAGCCTGTTGAATAAGTATCTAAGCATCCTATTGAAGTTACTATTTAGCAATGAAAGTTCACTAATAATTATACATGCAAAGAAACTAATTTTTTAAATATTTCATATTGTTAAATTACTTTATAATATTAAAATTTGGAAAGGGCCCTAGCCAGTGTGGCTAAGTGGATAGAGCGTTGGCTGCAGACGGAAGGGTCTTAGGTTCGATACCGGTCAAGGGCAGGTACCTCGGTTGCAGGTTTGATCCCCAGCCCAGGTCAGGGACAACCAATCAATGTGTCTCTCTCACATCAATATTTCTCTGTCTCTGTGTCTCTCCCCCTTCCTTCCACTCTCTCTAAAATTCAGTAGAAAAAATATCGAGTGAGGATTAGCAACAACAACCAACAGTGGAAAGGCCTTGAAAGGAATGGTTTGTAGCATGGTCCAGATTCCCGCTTCAGGATCAACGCACTCAATCCCCCAGCTGCTGAGAATATCAGTGTTCATGGCTCACAGCCGAGTCCTCTTCTGCATCTCGCCCTCTAACAAGGTTTTGCCTCCTTTCCCTGGGGTATCCCACATTTCACGACTGGTTAATAACAGGGTGCAAAGGCCTGCCTCCTTACGACAATTCAGGATGACTGAGTGGAAATCCCAGTTTCATAGCCCCCTATGGTTTTGGCTGAGGCCTCTACTGCAAATTGTTCACAGTTCAATTTCTCCCTCTATCCAACTCTGCTTCCATCACTCCATTACAGATGTTGTTCCCAAGAGCACATCTCAATAATATTTCTATACACAAATATCCCACTTGCGTCTGCTTCCCAAAAAACTCATCCAAAGACATTTGGTATTGAAAGTGGCACTGGAAATTAGACTCTAAAATTGGGTTTGGGGGCTGATTCCCTGCCAGCCAGCTGCCAACAGAACCCCATCCCTAGTGAGTGGGTACTGATAGCACCTGGCAATGCTGTGGCACTGTGCTTACTAATTTGCATCCACTTATGCTGAAGTTCTGTCCCCACCGGCTTACCTGTAATTAAAAACATAAAACATAGGGCTTTCTGCATTTATTACATTGACTTTTGTCTCGCTATAGTTTGGACAAGACTGCCACCTCCTGGAGACGCTAGTGAACACTGGGGACTGAGGCGCTCTCATCCGCTTGGGGAACCGTAATAGAAAGTTGTTTGCGTCTCAACGCCAACTGCATCTCTCTCCTTGAAATTAAACCAATGCCTAACCCCTCACAACCTCTGCGAACAAATTTTTGTATAGAAACAAGACTTCAAAGGACTTGCGTATCACAATGTTTTAACGTGGAAACTTAAACAAAAGCTAACATCTGTAGCTCGCAATATGCCAAGTACTTTCTTAATCCTTACAACAGCCTTATGAGGTGGGAACTATTGTAATGAACACCTCCACATGACAGATGAAGAAATTAAGTTCTAAGGGAGTTTAAAGCGACTGAGCATTAAGCGAAAGTGTTGATATCATCACTGGCTAATGAGAACTAAAGGGCTGAGTTAAAGTATTAGGTGTGGGATGTTCCAGAGCTCTGCTGGAAATAGACCGCTAGCTCTTCCTGTTTCTGATCTGAGAAAGTGCTTCTCTTTGTTTACACCCCTGGATAGTTGGAACTCCAGTGACAGCCTCCAACGCCAGCTCCGTAACTAAGTAACCGCCTCGCTTTACCGGGCATGCGCACAAACCCTGAAGCTATTTGTAGGAGGCCGACGGCGAGCGGCGCGGCGGGGTTCCAGCACTCCTTTCGCGCCACCACCAAGATGGCGGCGCCCATGTTGCGGTGCGTTTCTCCGAGCCGGTGGTTTTGCACCCCGGGCCCGTGGGCAGTCTTGCCCCGGGGGCTGCGTGAAGCCCACTCGGGCAATAAGGGGTTGCTGGCGGTGCAGAAGGCTCGGGGTTTGTTCAAAGAGTTCTTCCCCGACAAGGGCACGAAGGTAGAGCTCCCCGAGCTCTTCGACCGTAGCATCGCGGGCAACTGTCCCCAGACCATCTACTGCGGCTTCGACCCCACGGCGGACTCGCTTCATGTGGGGCACCTGCTGACGCTGCTGGGCCTCTTTCACTTCCAGCGAGCCGGCCACAACGTGATCGCCCTCGTGGGAGGCGCCACGGCGCGCCTGGGAGACCCCAGCGGGCGCACCAAGGAGCGCGAGGCGCTGGACGCGGAGCGCGTAGGCAGCAACGCGCGCGCCCTGCGCCGAGGGCTCGAGGCCCTGGCAGCGCATCACCAGCAGCTCTTCTCCAATGGGCGGGCCTGGGGCAGCTTCACGGTGCTGGACAACTCGGCCTGGTACCAGGAGCAGCACCTGGTGGACTTCCTGGCGGCGGTGGGCGGCCACTTCCGCATGGGCACGCTGCTGAGCCGGCTGAGCGTCCAGACCCGGCTCAAGAGCCCGGAGGGCATGAGCTTGGCCGAGTTCTTGTACCAGGTGCTCCAGGCCTACGACTTCTACTACTTGTTTCAGCGTTACGGATGCCGGGTGCAGCTGGGCGGATCTGATCAGCTGGGCAACATCACGTCGGGATACGAGTTCATCAACAAGTAAGCGTCCCTCGGCCCTGAAGAAATCCCGGGACCAGATCATTGACACGCGAAATAGCCGGCGATGCACTGTTAGGACTGTGAAGTGACGCCCGTCGTCCAAGCCCTTGTTGGTTTTCCCCCCAGTAAGGGTCTGCAGTGGTGTTAACATTACCATCGGCCAATGAGAACTAGAGGGCTGAGATGAAGTGTTAGGTGTGGGAGGTAGCCTAGAGCTCTGCGGGAAATAGGCCGCTAGTCAGGATTGTATGTTTTCATTCCCCTAAGTAGCTCTTTGTGTTTCTGATTTGAGAAACTGCTTTTCTTCGTTTATACCTGAGCAGGTATATAGGCTTCCTTGAGTAGCCTCTGCTTTAGCTCGGCACCTTCCGTGAAGGGAGGGATGAGCCACAGGGCTAGCCCAGGTGTTACTCATTTTTTTAAAGTCCCTTTAAGTTAACTCCTTTAGTGTCTCCACCTGACTCCCCCGTTAGCAGCACCTCCCCTTGGCTTGCCCAGAGTCACTGGTTCAATTGCTGTTCAGAACGACAAATGCCAGAATAGAGTGAATGCTGTGAAAGCTGTAAGAGGTCACAGAAGTTTTCTTAGAGCAGTGGTTCTCAACCTTGGCTGCACATTAGAATCACCCAGGAATCTTTTTAAAATCCTGATTTCTGGGTCTCATCCTCCAGAAATTCTGTTTCTTTGTTACTAATGTTGTGGCCTCACCCCATAACAAAGAAACAGAATTTCCGGAGGATGAGGCCCAGAAATCAGGATTTTAAAAAGATTCCCAGGTGATTCTAATGTGCAGCCAAGGTTGAGAACCACTGTCTTAGAGCAAGAGACCACACGGAAATTTGAAGCGTGACTAGCAGAATCTGCCATCACCTGTGCCTGAAACACATCGTGAAGTTTTCCTTTATGCATAGGTTGACTGGAGAAGACGTATTTGGAATCACTCTTCCCCTGATTACAAGTACAACTGGAGCCAAACTGGGCAAGTCTGCTGGCAATGCTGTGTGGCTGAGCAGGGATAAGACATCTCCATTTGAACTGTATCAGTTCTTCGTCAGGCAGCCAGATGATTCGGTAGAACGGTGAGTTCTGAATAGTGTGCTGAGAAAAATTAAGCTCATGATACAATTTTAGCATTGAATCTCTCTGTATGCTTGGTTGTTGTTGTGTTTTAAGTTAGATTCTATTAAAGGCATAAACAGTTGCAACACAGAACATTGTAACTTTAACTGTCCTGAAGTTAAACACTTTTGTTGGTTAAGGCAGAAAACCATTGTGGTTGCTAGAAAACTTAGGTCCAAGATCCTGATCTGCATCTGGCAAGTACAGTGAAACCTTGATATATAAAGACAAATTCTGGTGAAGGGGTGTTCATTAAAGCTGCAAGTCCAGTATATAATAAAGTAGGTTTTCCGAATATGTATGTTAGGAATTGACATATTAGTTTACTTGTTTTTACTTTTGTAGACACGTTTGTGTAATTAAAATTAGGTATGAAAAGTTTAACTTCACAGAAAAGTTTTCCATATATATTGTAATTTTAAATTTATACTGAGTAGGTCCGGTAAATGTGTGCATTCACCAGTTACCGAGACGAAACAAGTGCCCTCAGCTGGGGCGTGGCCTAACGCACATGGGAACGGCAGCTGGCACTGGTTAAAACTGCTGCAGGAAGGCATGCCATTCGACATCAGAACCAATTACCAAGCTTGATTCGGTGTGGTCATTCCCTGAACATTGTTTACAAGCAGTGACTCTTGGATTTAAATATACAGACTGTTGTTGTAGATACGTAATATTTATGTAGGCAAAATTACTAGTGTTTTTTCCAACGTATGTATTCACTAGAATTTATTAAAAATAACTGAATTGCCCTAACCCAGTGGTCGGCAAACTGCGGCTCGGCAAACCACGGCTCGCGAGCCACATGCAGCTCTTTGGCCCCTTGAGTGTGGCTCTTCCACAAAATACCGGCTCTTCCACAAAATACTGACTTCTGTG